TCCACCCAACCCACTCTGGAGCAGTGTGGCTGCTTTCAGTGCAGGGGGATGTCCCGGCAGCAATCCCGAAAAATCACCCGCTTTATTGCTCAACTGATTGCCGTTGTTGGGGCCCCTTATAATATAGTCCTTTAGGCAGCTCCTGCACGCTGTCATGCCTCAATACCACGTCCCAACCTGCACTACGTGTGGTGTCATCTTTTGTACATGGCTTGTGTCGGGGTGCTGAAGGAGGAGCTTGGAAGGGCCAGCAGGCAGGAATCGCATACCTGTCCCCCTGACAGCCCAAGGTGTCGAAAGATCTTCAGGCAACTTCAGCATCTTCATTAGTTGCCAGGGACGGGCACTGCTCTTTCCTCCTTCATGCAGAGGTGATGGACGAATACCACACCTCTCGGAACATCGTGCGGGCCCTGCAACGGATGGTGGCACATTCTTTCATGCGCCTCTATTTCGGCCTACACATTTGGAGAGAACCAATTCTTAGAACTCCAGTAGACCACTACTCCAGCTGAGCTGCAGAGCCACAGCAGTGGAGAAGAACATCCCCTCACTTCAAGGGGCACCTCCAGTTGGCAAGCGCCATGTCATTTGACCAAATGCTGGAGATGGTGCGCATCCTCCACAGGGATGACTATGACTGCCATCAGGGGTCATACGGGCACTGTAATGCCAAGAAAGAGGTCATCTCTGTCCTCCCAAAAGAAAATTGGGGAGGAACCGCTCCAAGGATCAGCTCTGCAAGCGCTGGTCAGACCTCAAGAACAGGGAGGCGGAGCAAATGCAAGCTGACCCTCACCTTATCCACTACTGGCTCTCACTTGCGAGTGGTAGGATGGGACATATAGTTCTTTTGCACCCAACTGGGCCTAGTGCAAACAAGTGAGACCCCCCCCCCCACCCCCCCCCCCATTCCCAAATGACCTTTCATTTGCTGCTTTTGAAGTGAAGACAAGCAGAATATTTGGGTAACTTTCACAATTGGGGGTATTCCAAGCGGTTTAAGCCTCCAGTTCTGCTGTAACACCCACCAAACGTGCAAGCAGATAGATCGAATCTTTCTGCTGACAGTCCCTCCTGGGATCCCAGACTTCACTTACTCTTTCAGCAGTGAGAAGCTCATCCATTAATACAGAGGTTCCCGTGTTTGCTCTGGCCCATGTAGCGACTGTTGTTTTACCTTGTCCCCAGTGCCCCTGTGCAAGTGTTCCAGTGAAGTCCATATAGCACATGCTGCCCCATAAAGGTCCAGAGCCCTCAGGTCTAGGAAGGAATGCAGACCCTTATCCGAGTGGAATAGGCCAACCGCAGTGAGCAGGCAAGCCCAGACCACTGATCACACATCTAGCATCAGGGGCGTCCCGAGGCCGGGTGATACCCTGCTGTTACGTCACTGTGCGTGACATCATCGCGCATGCGAGGTCATCTTTTTTTAATCGATTTTTTTATTTTATTTGTACTTCGAAATAAATGAATACAATACAGTGTCACGTGCGAGGCACATAGTACGTTCACCTTGTCAGTAACATTTGTAAGTCGACTGCATTGAAATAACAAACAATGAGGAGGTCCAGGTAAACGACTCCAGCGCCCTGAGGCGCATAACAGAGAGGCAAGAGAGCCAGAAGTAAAGTACTAGAAGGGAAGGGGGAGGGTAGAGCATAAGAGGTAGGGGAGGGGGAAGTGTGTGGCAACGTGGTGAGTCCCTTTCGGACAAAGGTATCCTGTCAGAGGGTCGTGTGGGAAATGTTCGGGTGTGCATGCACCATCCAAGGGTCCCAGGCCTTCCGGAATTTATTTTGGGTATCCATCAGGATACTTGACAGCTTTTCGTCAATGAAAAATGAATCTAGTCTTCGGCTAACCCCGCTAAATGGAATTTGCGCGGTCATCTTTTTGATACTTGGTGATGGACGCGGGCAGAGAGAGGAGGGGACGTTCACCCGGCGGGCTAAGGTATGCCGCCGCGTCCTCTCCTCTCTCTCTCTCTCTCTTTCCCGCAGCTGTCGGGCTATCGATCCATGAGTGAGTGCCCTGACTTTTCAGAGAGGGTGACACCAAAATGACTGTCAGTCATTTTGGTGTCACCCCCTCCAATGGTACAAATGTAGAAATACTTTGCCGCACTCCTTACCGGGAAGCCCTAAATTAAATAAGAGGGGGGGTTCTCGCCGTGACCGCGGATGGCGCCGCCAAACAGTACAAAGTAAACGGATGTCACCAGCACACCAATAGTGTTGCAGTCCAAAGTGTTTGTTTATTGGAACATCATGTCACCAGAACACCAGAACCTGGGTGTCACCAGAACATGTCACCCCTTCAATGGTGTCACCCGGGTGTGGGCCGCACCCCCCACACCCCCCTTGTGACGCCACTGCCTAGCATTGATCACCTAGTAATAACAAAGGTCTAGATCAAACCTGTCGTCCTACCATTGCACTCTAATGCAGCAGAGCCCGGGTGGGTGGCAACAGGACGTGGTTCACAAACTACAAATGGAAAATAGGAAATACACATTGTCACCCAAAACGACAGCCAAGCGGCATTATTTCTCCTCTCTGCATTATTTACACGGGTTTCTGTTTGGTTTCTGGCAGAAAAAGACAAGAAAAGGAGGACAAGGTCCGCACCCGCCAGTGCCGCCCAGAGCACCTCCGCAGCACCAGATGCCTCGGAGGCCACAACCTCCGGTATGCACTGTTTGAGTTTTAAAAGACTTTCACTATAAACCAGAAACCCGTTGTGTTTTGTTTTATACTATTTTCACTCTTTTGTGTATATAGGACAAGAATCGAAAGCTGACATGTTTACCATACGTAGAGTGATCACCGAGATGCGGCAGTACAGCAGAGACCTGGAAGCGATCCAGGAGAGGCTCCACAACATACATAGAAACATGTCAAATACAGTGGATGAGCTCGAGCACATATAATGGACGGTGGCAGCTCCTCCTCCTTTTTTTAAACATTTTCTTAGTTTGTTATTATTGTAGAAGATTTATATAGCGCCAGCAGTGTGTGCATGCTTTAACAAAGAGTTTGCCGTGACATGAGTCGCTGTTTTTTTTTTACTTTAATAAAAAATGTTTTACAAAGTTTAAGCGTCGATGTTCCTGTGTTTCTGTGCGTTGCTTTTACTTGTTTCAATAATGTGTCTATTGCTTTATTCCCTCACTCATATAAAGCTGTTCACATACACTATATTGCCATAAGTATTGGGACTTCTCTCCAAATCATTGGATTCAAGTGTTGCAATCACCTCCATGGCCCCCGGTGTATAGGATGAGGCACCTCGGCATGCAGACGCTTCTACAGACATTGGTGAGAGAACGGGTCGCTCTCAGGAGCTCAGTGACTACAAGCGTGGTGCCGTGATAGGTTGTCACCTGTGCAATAAGTCCATCCATGACATTTCCTGGCTACTAAATATTCCGCGGTCACCTGTTACTGGTATTATAACAAAGTGGAAGCAACTGGGAACAACAGCAACTCAGCCACGAAGTGGTTGGCCACGTCACATGACAGAGCGGGGGCAGCGCATGCTGAAGTGCACAGTGCGCAGAAGTCGCCAACTGTCTTCATAGTCAATAGCTACAGACCTCCAAACTTGGTGTGGCCTTCAGATTGGCACAACAACAGTGCGTAGAGAGCTTCATGGAATGGGTTCCCATGGCCGAGCAGCTGCATCCAAGCCTTACATCACCAAGTGCAATGCAAAGCGTGGGATGCCGTGGTGTAACGCACGCCGCCACTGGACTCTAGAGAAGTGGAGACGTGTTCTCTGGAGTGACCAATCACGCTTCTCTGTCTGGCAATCCGATGGACGTGTCCCAGTTTGGCGGTTGCAAGGAGAG